AACTAAAAAAAACATAATGCTTATATTCTCATCAGCAGTTTAGACCTAAGAAATATAAAGATTGCAGTATTTAGTGATGCCAGCTTTGGAAACTTGAGTGGAGGTGCTTCACATATTGGATATATCATCCTACAATATGATAAATTTAACAGAGCTGTCCTAATCATGTGGACATCCAAGAAAGCTAAGAGTGGCAAGGTCTACTCTCACAGCAGAGACATTGGCCATTGTAAAAGCAACTCAGTGGGTTGATGTTCAAAGAAATTTTAAATGAACTCTTGAATGATAAGATTCCATGTGTAGATCTATACATGGATAACAAGAGTCTATATGAGTTAAGATCTCAAATATGCTGGCCAAAAAAAGGCTGTTAATAGACCTTTCAGCACTTGGAGAACTTGTGGAAAAACATCAAATTTCCATGTGGATTCTAACTGGCAGATGGATTGACCAAGCAAGGCACCAGCAAACAAAAGCATCCTGAAGATATGACCAAGGAACATTTAAATTTTCCACTGGCTATGTCATTATTTCAATGACATTATATATATATATATATATATATATATATATATATATATATATATATATTAGGTAAGATGTGAATAAATAGAGTACAATTCTAACGTTTGTAACACTTAATTTAAAAGAGAGCTCAATACAAAGTAGAGAAACATTCTTTATTTTAGGATATTACATCAGTCCATTTAATCAATATTACATCATACTTTTAAAAAAAATATATAAGACATTATTGGGAAAGGTGGTGCCTTTGTGTACTCAAAGAAAAAGCTTTAAAAGAGAGGGAGATTGTTATAAGGGAAAATCCAATAAAAAGGGAAGTAACTCTTTGGTGACTGATTGAAACATGGTGGAGTTTGAACAGAGTGTAAAAAATGACGTACACAGTATTATGTTGGTTTGTTGATTAAGTTTACTATTGAAGACTTAGATTATAGATTCTTGTGGGGAATAAAAGTAAGTAACTTGAGTTATCATTTTGTAATTATTTCATCAAAATGGACAGCAAAATATGGGTTTATAGAGCAGCTGTTTTGCCCACACTGTTGTATGGCTCAGACCCCATATAGGTCCTGTATCAGTCATGTATTCCACAAAAGTTGTGTTCGCATGTTGCTATACTTTTGTCAATGGGATGTCCAATGCTAATCTTCTCATAAAATGCAACATTGGTGAAATTGGGATTTTCCTGATGCAGTCACAACTTTTCTGGTCTGGTCATGTTGCAAGGATCAGTGGACAAAGTAGTGTTGGACAGTCATGGCTCAGGTATAAAACTGAAGAGTACCCTCTCAGCTGTCAATGTGCCTTATATTAACTTTGAGTGGGTTGCCCTGGATAGATATAACTAGAGATATTTATGCCAGCATGGTATTAGACATTTTGAAATCAGTTGTATTGACTAGCTGAGAGAGGAAAAGACAGCAGTGAAAAGCATCAGTCAGCAAATATCCCCGTTGCTATAGGCCAAGATCCTCACTGTCCCACAATATATGGACTTGTATACAGGTCACTATTGGGACTGAAGTGTCATATATGATATAAACATAAAAACTGAATGGAGTTGTCAGATTCTCATATGCCAAAATTGACCAAAGATTCCATTATATATATATATATATGATTAATAGGAGTAAACATTTGTCATTTAGCTGATTACTGTTACCTTCAGCATCCTGACTCCAGAGTTTGTAGGTGAGCCTGTCCACCCACTCTTCAAGAGATATCAGCAATCATTATTGGGTAGTGAAAAAATGATATAAAAAAAGGCATCTATGTTATATTTGTCATGTAATTTTACTGCAAGTATATCACCAAAAATATCTCAAAATTGTCAGGTTATCAATAAATGTGTCAACTCCTCATAAAAACACCCAGCTCACTGTTAAAAAATGCTTTCCTTCAATATTTCAAACTGAAAGTAATATTTGTTTTGATTCACATTAATTTAGCGTTAAATCAGTTAATCTTCCTCAAATAAAATTTCTGAAAATTAGATGTTATTTTTGGAAGTTTTTTTAATAAAGAGGATTATGTTGACAAATTTGTCAATGTGGATGATTTTAGCTGTTATAAAAAAAAATTATAATTTCTGTCAATTTAAATTCAGTTTGAAATGCATCAAAATTTTTTACTCATTAGAAACATTAAATTTAATCTATTAGCTTGGAATTAAAAGTAAAAAATTTCAAGAAATATATTTCATTTTTAAAATGCATTTTAAAACTTAGATGTTGCTTTTTTTTGGGAGGTACCTATATATATATATTTTTTCTGTCTTTTTTTTTAAATTAATTTTTTTAAATCCAGCATTATTTCTTATTAATAGAAACATTATTTTTAGAGTGTACATTATTTGATATCCTGTTTTCTTAAACAATGAAATTAATGTCAACTAAAACAAGAAATTGTACCAAAGAAAAGGTGCCTCCCTACAGCAGGAAAAGCTATATTCCCTTTTTTCAATCGGGTAAACCACTCTTACAGTTGAAATATAATTGGTAAGGGTTTGCTTCATTTATAGGATTGGTTTATAGTAATAACAGCTAGATATGAACAGAGTGAGATAGATACATATATACGAACAGATAGATACATATATACGAACAGAGTGAGATAGATACATGTATACGAACAGATAGATATATACGGAGTGAGATAGATAGATATATACGAAGAGTGAGATAGATATGAATAGACTGATATGAACAGATGTAAATTAGATATGAACAAACTAAAACAGATCAATAGAACTCAAATAAATAGACAGATAAATATATATGAATAAACTAATGTGGATATATAGATAGAAAAAACATTCAATACACATGATAAAGCAGGATTTCTTGAATATAATCCTCTTTATTTTCATATATTCAGGCAGCTCTTCAAATATTTATTGGTCAAGGACACACAACAGCTTCTACTCTTATCCTCAGGATTAAAATAAAGAATTTAGAAATTAACACTTTAGGCAATGTATGAAATCGTGTGGCTCTGTGTTTCTTAAAATTGAGACATTTTTTTCTGAAAAGAATTTGTGGTACTTTTTCTAAAAGCAGTTGTGATATTTTCTTTCTTTAAAAAGGTGTGCCATTTTTAATAAAGAAATTTTCATTCTTTAGCAAAGATGGTCAGAATGTTAGCCACCTGTTCAATTTGAATGAATACAAGATTTAATTTCTTTTCTTAAGATAACTTCTTAAAGTATGAGTTATTGTTAAAAAAAAGTTTCTGCCTTTTCACTTCATCTATTTTCTTTGTGTTTTATGTTAGAAGCAGAACTGAATTTAGACATGATTTCTTGCTCTATTGAATTTAAGTGAAAAGTTTTAAGAGATTATTAGAAAGAAAACCTACTACTTAAGCTGACACCAGCATAAAAACGTTTATAGTGTTGAAAACAAATGCCTACGCTTGCTTGCACACACACTCATGCACACCCATTGAAATCTGGGATCTTATTGCTCAATTTTGAAATACCTGTCTAAACTCAGCTTGTCCTAAGCTTCATAATTCCTTGTGTCTCGCATGCTCTGGTATTCTAGCAAACAAGTTGCTACAGGCTTGCAATGGACAAGGTTTCTATTGGGTCACCAATTTGTAGCAAGAAAAGTTACTACTTGTTACAGCTAAAATGGAAAACTTTCAAAATAAGTAAATTCAACATTTTTAAAAGAAACATTAATAAGAAATACATGGAAGATTTTTGTACATATATAGCTTACAATTAAAAAAGGAAAGAAATTTATGTACTTAGCTATTGTGTGTGTGTGTGTGTGATGTCCATGTGATCTGTTTGAAATTAACTTGTCAGTTTGCTGGGCAACTAAGTCACCCCAGAGGGAAGAGGTTTCATGTCCATTCATTTTAAGTCTAGAATAGAACAACACCTAGTGGATGTTCCTTCTGGAAGCCAGGATGAAGTGATTCCCATAGTATTTTCAACACACTAGGGTAGAACCCCATCTTTGTCTCTTTAAGTTTTTCTGCATTTGTCATGAAATTATCCAGCATTCACTGACATATAGGATATTAACCATTACACAGCAGACCAGGAATTTAGAATGTTTTTGAAAAATATCACATTCACGACATTTCAGCCATTGTATGTCTTGGCCTTCTTCAGGTGAATGTACAATAACCAAAACATTGTGAATGTAACAGTAAAAATGAGGACAACAGTCTGAACAGTGTAAATAGTTACAATACCTCATCTCAGAAATATACACAGGGATATTTTCCAGGGTGAAAGTTCATTTTGTCAGAAAATGAAGGCATTTAAGGACAAATATACATGCATATGGATTATAAAGTTTTCTTCAAGGGAATATTTTATGCATAATTAAATGAAATTTTTATGAAATATAGTTTGCTTCATATTTTTTCAGTCCACTAGTAGTTGGTAATCTACCGATACCTGCTTGCCACCCAACGCAGGCAGGATACAACACAAGATTAATTTAAGTTTTGGGAGCCCAAACATGTGCACCCAGGCCAGTTCCCCCCACCCACAAACCCCAAGCTCTGCAACTGTTGATTGCACTGGCATTGGCTACCTGTTTAGTGCAATGAGGGAGGTACTGACACAGTCAGCTGTTTGTCTAGACTGGGCCCCTCTCAGTTTTTTAGTTGCACTTTTCCTGAAGTCAAAGACATAACTGAGTTGTGCTCTGTTCAAAGACAGACACACAACTGAGAAATGTTAAACAAGATACAATAAATGGAATTTAACAAGTTTGACATGCAAGATTTGTGTAGCGCATTCTGCCTTTCCCCTTCTGCTTGGGTACTTATATAGTCTCTATACCTTAGCTATGCTAACTAGGCAGTGATTTACATATCACTACAGAAAGTTAATTTTTTATATTTATTTAAATTGCTTACATTAGAAGGAAAATATTTAATTAATATAAAATTTATATAGTGATTAAATTTTAAATAAAAAATGATATTACCTGCGATATGTACAAATGGAGTGCATTTATGATTTTCATCATGAATCTATCTATCTATCTATCTATCTATCTATCTATCTATCTAGATAGATAGATAGATAGATAGATAGATAGATCAATCGATTGATCAGTGGTTCTCAATATCTTATTTTGTCCAGTGCACCCTTTTCACCAGATGCATTCCAAATAATATATTATTGAAAATGATCATTCTTTTCCATATTTGTACATATACATTTATACGGGCACATTCGCATTCTGACCATAAGACCCAGGTTTGAATCTCACCATGCTTGATTTGTTAGGAAGGAGACTTCCTTGACCCAAGCCTTGTGAGTGAAATTGGGTAGACCGGGGGGGGGGGGGCATTGATAGCTCTGCTAGCACAAAGTCACAAGTCATCGTGGTCGAGGGCTTGAGCATGCTGGTCTTGTTCAAGTTATTGATAATGCTAAATAACACGCTCTCTCCCAGAAATGGGTAACTAAGGTCTGTTCAGAATAGTTGCAGTATAAACCACAGGTGGGCTCTGTGGGTGTTAAACAAATGCAAATGCACCTTAGCAAGCATCTGCAATAGGGATTGCTTAGCCACCCTAGAAGATGCGTATCATTGAATACAAGTGGCCATCTATACATATACATTTACATGGAGTATTTTTATAGGGGAGTCTTACAAATTTAATGTTTTGTGAGTGTCAGATTGTTTAGGCCCCCTTTCCGTATTGTGTGTCCCTGGAATTTCAAATGTCTTTTTCCAATGCTATGTATAATTGTCCTTTTTGTTCGATTTCTCTTTGGAACTTCCTCATGTACTTCTGTCCATTCTTTTGTACAACCTTCAACTTTAGTCTCTTCTTCATCTGTGAGGAAATTGTCAAGCATTCACTGCAATATAGGAGAAATGATATTGCGTAGATGTTCAGCACTCTTATTTTTGTTGCCAATTAAATTTTTCTGTTTCTTAATATTTAACTTAGTTTCTTGAAAGCAAATTTCACTATTCCAGTTCACCTCCAGATTTCTATGTTGTATTTCCCATCATCTGTTTTCTGATGATAACTCACAATCACAAATATTCAGCACTGGATTCATAAAAATAATTGACTCGATTTTCTTTGTCAACCTCTATAAACAAAATGAAAAATTTTTCCGATAACAACTGATTGATATTTACCAATATTCAGTATTTGCCTAACAGAAATATTTGATTGGATTTTCTATCTCATGTCATAAGAAACTATTTTCTGATAATAACTAATTGATTTTCATTAATATTCCATATTGGATTGATTTTTCTCTCTCGTATCATAAAAATCCTTTTCTGGTAATAATTGATAGTCACAAATATTCATCAAATAATCTTGAAAATATAACAAAACCCACAACAAAGAATGAACATCAACTGTAAACATTATATACAAAAGTCAGTGTGCATATGTGTCTAAATCTGGTTCAAACTTAGAAATACTATCATATATATATATATATATATATATATATACACATATATGCACACACACAGGGTGTCCATATAACTTTATTTGTATTTGTGATAGAAATGTTTTAACGTTTTAATGTACCTAGTTTTAAGTATAGCTAAAATAACTAATGTGATTTCAGGCATTACTGTAAATCAGTTGGCAAATGTTTTCTGTGAACTGCAAAATCATATTACATTTTGTACTGCTAATCATGGAGGACATGTGGAAACTTAAATAAAATTTCAATAAAACCTTAAAAAATATCGATTTACTGGTTTCTAATCCTTTTCATAAATTATTTCTATCACAAATACAAATAAAGTTATAAATTTTTTAAAGTGCCCACAAACATTAAGGACACCTTATGCATGCATGCATGTGTGTATATATATATATATATATATATATATATATATATATATATATATATAAAAAAGAGGATCCACCTATGGGTAAATAGTAGGACAGACTGGGTTCTATAGCCTTAGATGGTCTAAGAGAAGAGAAACTCTGAATTCAAAACCTGCGGAGGGTCATTTGGGGACCTTGTGGTCTGATTTTTGCTTTTCTGAAATCCTGTTATTATTTTTGGAACAATTGGAACTGGATGAAAACTCTTAAAATTATAACATTGAATTTAATTGACTGAAATATTATAAAGAAAGCAAAAGATTTAATAAAACTCTAGGAGGGTAACTTTTTTTTTTTTTTTTTTTTTAACATGCATGTAATTTTATTATCTGGCAAAACACAAATGAAACGCTTCTTCAATTTTTATTAATTTTGGAAAAATATGTTTTTTCTTTTCTTTTTTTTTTTTTAACACTATTTACATTGTATGAACTGTTGTCCTCATCTTTGTTGTAATATTCACACTGTTGTATGCTCCAGCCTTCTTCAGGTGATTGGAATTTTGAACCAAGCCCTTTATTTCATCCACTGGGGTAGATTGTTCTAGTTTCACATGCCATGCCTCTTCTGGATATCTCGGTTATTGTTATTTCCATTTAGTAAATCAACTCTCCAAGTTTTTGTTCACCTCTGCTGTGGCCAGGTATTGAACTCACAACTCTTTGGGTCAAGTCAAATTACTTCAACCAATCCATCTTTTATCCACTGGGCCATGTGAAGAAGACTGGAGCGTACAATGGCCAAAACACTGTGAATATGATAATGAAGATGAGGACAACAGTCCAAACAATTTTAATTAGTTAATTAAATAGTTAAAATATGTCATCTCAGAAATATAGACAGACATCTTTCTTTATGCATCAATTCAATTTCTCTTGATGAATAAAACAATTTGTTTTCTATTTTTCAGCTTCAAGAGCCAAAAAGCTAGTTCTATTTCCAGTTGCCTTTCACAAGGACATCCACAGAAATGCTAAAACCCAGAGGTGTTTTTGCATTGATTCCTTGGAGAGAACATTGCACAAAATTCCAGAAAGAAATAAGTTTTACCAGAATGTGGAATAATTGCCATAAAAGACTTGAATGTTGGAAAACAGAGATTTCATGAAGAATATTGAGAAATATAAGAATTAAGAATGACAATCTTCTAAGCCTGATACAATGATTCCATGTTCAAAGGCAGGACCTTCACTTGGCCAGTTTTTTTTTTTGTTTTTTTTTCTTGCTGCCCTGTCAAGTGATCTACCTATGCTGCCTAGGAATATAGAAATATAAATATGGGTGTCTCTCAGAGCGCTATCCTCAAACTTACTTTGTTCCTCATTTTTATTAATGACCTTTCTGATGTCATTAGTTCTTGACTCAGTATCTAGGCTAATAACACAACTATTCATTCCTGACTTTATGGTAAATTTTGATAAATTTTCAACTAATCTCTAAAATGACCTTCAATCTGTTGTTAACTGGGGCAAGAAATGACTTGTTAATTTTAATGCCTCCAAAACTCAACTGCTCTCTTTTAATTGTCTCAGTGAACCGTTTTTGCCTTCCATCAGCATGGATGATGCAAACCTCCAGGAGAGTGACTCATTGCCCCTTCCCGATTTAATGTTTTGCACTGACATCAAGTGGAGGGATTCTGTCTAAGTCTGTTGCTAAAGAAGTTGGTTCAGATCTTGTGCTAGTCAATTCTTCTGACCCAAATCTGTCTTTCACCTTGTAAGTTTCCCATTTGTTCATGCATTGAATATTATTGCCACATCTGGTCCGATGCTTCTGGTATGTATCTTGAGATTATGGACAAAATCCAAAGAAGAATCTGCAATGATACTAATCCTGCCCTAGCATCTCATCTTCAATCAATTTGCCACTGCTGTAATTTAGCTTATTGTCATGGTTATTGTTGGTACTTCAACCACATGAATTTAATAGTACTAGATTGGCAACTAGGTTTCATCTTTTTACTTTTGAAATTGTTTGATGTAACCATAAGTTCTATTCTAATAGTTTCTTCACTTGCACTTCTCGTCTGTGAAACTCTCTTCCAGCTTCTTGTTTCCTGCCAATTACGATCTTCAAGAATTTTAATGCAACATCAATATCCCGCTTCTGAATCTTATCCTCTTTATTGTTTTTTTTCTCCTTAATAATGTTTTCTCAGTTTCTTTCACTCTTACTACCCCCACTTTATGCCTTAGTGGCTTTATCACCTTGTTTAAGGTAAAATGATTAAAAAAAAAAATTTTTCATATCCAAAGACAACAAATTAATTTAGGAAAGTGGAAACAGACATTCTGTTGCAGGAGAATTTCCCTCCAGGTATCTCCAAGAAACCTGGATGAAGAGAGAGAAATATCTCAAGTTTGGCATTGAAATTGGTTCAGTCACTCATGTGGATTTTAATAGCACAAATATTGAAGGAAAAAAAAGCAGCTCTTCTGTGTATTGAAAGGTAAATACTTCAAATCTTTTTATTTTTTGTTGTACATTTCCTTTGCGCTCCCCCACCCCCAATATATAGTACAACTTAAATAGACTGATTATTTGTTTGAAAAAAAATCGGAAAAAATATATTTGGAAAGAGTGTCAAATTGATCCCTGAATTTTGAAAAGTTAGTGGATATATCTGTTTTGTGTATGAAAACTGACTTTTACAAAAAGATTTCTTTTAAATAAACAACAGATAAATACATTTTAATTTAAAGAACATGAATTAATAGAATTATGTATCCATTTATTTTTCTTTTCAAATAAATAATTATCAACTTCAAATGTTTGTTGCATGTGCTTCTGAAAAAATCCCATACAGAAAAATGTTATTAAAATTTTTTTAAAAAGTTAAAAAAAAAAAAAAAATATAAAAGAAATTGTTAAAAATTCAGAAAATTAAAAAAAAATAGATATCAATGATGTTACCACACTTTCAAATTTGTCATAACAGAACCCCCTCACCCCTAAAATGATAAAATATTAATAAGTTTTAATTTTTGATTTATCCTAGTATACATGGCTTGGTGGGTGTTAGCTGTGAAGATGAAACACGCACATATACATATGATATATACACATATGTATCCAGAGCAGCGCAAAGCATTTATCTATATTATTAATGATCCAATTTCTATTTGTGGGTGTTTTACTATAACAAACCATCTTTAAGAATAGAACAATTTACTGCTTTATAATAGTATGTGGG